GGTCACACCGATGATGCACAGGGATTACTCCTGGTGGTGCTCAGGGAACCATATGGGAGGCTGAGAATCGAACCTGGGTCTGCCACATGCAAGGCAAACGCCCTACCCGCTATGCTATCACTCCAGTCCCTTCATTTTAAATTAAACTTAGGAAAATTTAAAACTGAGGTAACTGATAATCAATATCCCCATTTATATAAGTGACTAACAGATTGAGTGCTTTACTATATTTTATTTATGTATTTATTTGTGCTTTTTGGGTCACACCTGGTGATGCACAGCGGTTACTCCTGGCTCATGCACTCAGGAATTACTCCTGGCGGTGCTCAGGGGACCATATGGGATGCTGGAAATGAATCTGGGTCTGTCGCGTGCAAAGCAAACACCCTACCCGCTGTGCTATTGCTCCAGTCCCGAGTAGATTACTTTAGATTAGTAAACAAACACTAGTGTTTTATTCGTGATAAAGAGGTTTTAAAGAGTATTTGAAATTGCTTGAAAATTTTCTTCCTTAAAACAGACTACAAAGTTTTAAAATTTGACATAAATGCTTCTTAAATCGTAGCTTCTTTGAGTCCTAAGAAACAAAGCAATGCCCTTGTATACCTAAAGCATATAAGCATTTGCACTCCTACAAGCCAATGTTACATAAATATGCAGAACAGTGCCTTTTAAAGTTTGTCATTGGCATAAATTCAATAGAACTCTGTCATAATAGGCCCTGTTTAGAGAGTAATTGCCGAAAAATAAGTAATTTAAAAATAAAATACATCAAGGAAAAGAGTAAACTTGGGGCAGGGGTAATAGCACAGTGGGTAGGGCATTTGCCTTGCAAGCGGCTGACCCAGGTTTGAGTCCCAGCATCCCATATGGTCCCCTGAGCACTGCCAGGAGTAATTTCTGGGTGAAGAGCCAGGAGTAACCTCTCTGCATAGCTGGGTGTAACCCAAAAAGAAAAAAAAAGAATAAATTTGCCCCCAAATGGATGAAGACATTGAGAAATGTTAGCCATATTCATGATGGAGATTGGAGTTAGTGGTAGAAAGGAGATAGAGATAGAGTTTACCTTTGTATAAATTTTCTCTTAGTAAAACTTACCAGAGGAGTTGACAGAAATAGGTAGAAGAAAGGTAAACTCGTCAATATGTCTACTTGTAAATTGCTCCAAAATTTGAGAAAGATAATTGTAACATTCAACAATCGACTTCCATCTTTCTAGACAATAAATACTCATTGACTTGCTTGCTTGTTGCTATACTCTGACAATTCTATTTCCTTCTCCACTCTATTAATGCCACTTTAGAAACTTCAACTGCTCGTTAACTAAGAAGGGGGAAGAATTTCTCACATATTTTATCTCCAAAACACCAAGTTCTCTCTATACTCTCTATGGTTCTAAGCAGCTGGGATCAAGTCATTGGAGAATGAGTGACTGACTCAAATAAGATCAGAGAGGTATTTTAAAAACTCTATGAATGATGTTCTTAACAAAACATTTCATAGGCAAACATCCTCAAAAATTATGCAATTAACCCTAATTAAATACATGAATGGAGAGGGCTAGGTGGTATTTAAAATTTAATATAACTAATTAGAGTATAATTTATATTTAATATTGAAGGACATTATAATTCCCTCCATCATTTTCTTTCCTTAGTTATATTTTCCCTAAACTAATCATAAAATAAATGTTCCTTTCTCAGATGCAGAAGAATTGGTTCCAGAAAGAAATGACCCAGCATTTTGATGGTGGAAGAGAGAATCTGGTCTCGGATTAAAATTTGAACTTGGATAGTACATATTTAGATATTTAGAAGTTGACATATTATCAATGTTCTGAGCAAAGATCACTATTATAAGGTGGCTACAAAATAGGTTCTGAGCCAAGATTGCTATTATAAAATAGTTTTAGTGATTCTTTCCTCCATTTCTCCTTGGTGAAATTGCTTCTCTATGTTTGAAGACAGGGCAATCTCATCTGAATGTTACAGATACCCATATGGAGTTTGGGGGTGGAGATGGGACATAACGTGTGTAGATGACAGAAGACAGTATAAATGTAGGGGAAGCGACTACAGTTTTCCCCACATTGAGTTTTTTTCCCATAAAACTAACACGTTTTATTAATCGTCACTTGTAAGTCAAGTGTAACAACAAGTCTCACAATGGAGACGTTACTGGGCCAGCTCGAGCAAATCGATGAACAATGGGAGGACAGTGCTAAGTCAAGTACTTGACTTTACATTTTACTTGTAAGTCAAGCAAAATAAGGACCGAAAATCAGAGGTCATTTGTCAAATAGAAGGCATTAATAACTTTGCTGAAACATTTTAGAAAAAAATGGACAGAAAACACTGACAAAAATGTTACAGAGAATAGGAGGTGGTAAAAGATAAGCTCTATACATATATTAAACTTTTTTAATTGATTCACTGTGAGACAGACCCTTACAAAGTTGTTCATGATGGATTTCAGTCATACAGTGCTCCAACACCCATCCCTCCACCAGCGTACATGTCCCAGCACCAGTGTCCCCAGGTTCCCTCCCATCACCTCCCATTCCCCACCCGCCAGTCTGCCTTTATGTCAGCTTTATGTCAGGCGCTTTTCTTTTCTTCTTCTTCTTCTTCTTCTTCTTCTTCTTCTTCTTCTTCTTCTTCTTCTTCTTCTTCTTCTTCTTCTTCTTCTTCTTCTTCTTCTTCTTCTCTCTCTCTCTCTCTCTCTCCCCCTCCTTTTGGACATTGTACCTACAGAAAGTTTTAAGACACTATGATATATGCATTTCTTTACATGTTGTCTATAAAGGGATAAGAGAAAAAGACATTATGGTGTTCTAGAAAAAAACTATAGACTGTCAGAAGTCCTTGCTTCCAGTCCCTCCCATTAGTAATTGCGATCCCTTAAGGTGTCCCTTGATCTTTCTGAGATTTTTAAGTATCTAAGTGAAGAGAGAGTAATAATACCTGCCCTACCTACCTCCTGGAGTTTCTGTGAAGATCAAATCAGATAATAATATATGTGAAAGCACTTTGAAATTTATAAAGTATTATAGAGATGTAGGATGTCTGTTGCTTTAACACTAAGAATACTTAAGAGATTGAAAGAAATCCTACTGTGCTCATAAGGCAGATTAGGATAAAAGAGTTGGTGAATTTCATCTTTGCTAGTAAAAAGTTACTCAAAATACATGGCAGCAGGAATTAACTGTCTTAACTCTGAATTAAAAAGCACACTTCTCCATCTCACTTCTCTCCTCGCCTCCTCTTGCTTTTCCTGTGAGAATGTGCTTTTGGAAGCTTCAGTGTACAGCACTAGGAGTTTTTAGTACTCAAGATCTGCTTTCTTTTGAGTCCACCCTCTACCATCTGCCCTCCCCTCCCACCTTGCTCCTGGGCAACCAGATTGCCTCTTGAAATCTGAGGACACCACTCTTTCTTCAGAAGTCACACTTCTCTGTATTAAAGGGTTTGGCTCACCAAACTGTGGGCACTCTGTTCTCTTAATAACTCACTAGGTCCTGTTTGACAAGGCATTAAGTACACGAGGGTGATTTCATTCCTTTATTGCCATTAGAGATCTGGTAAGAGATTTTAGCAAGCTGGAATTTTAAATTGCAAAAGTTCAACCATCTTTAATTCATAATCAAACATCATCTTCAATGCATCCTTATAAAAGCTGATTGACATTTCTGAAATTGCTCCTTTATTTTACTTGAAATTAAGTCAACATTTCCAAGGGAGAAAAAGGGCACCCATAATTTCATATCTTGATGCTGTTCTCACTTTATAAATATCTTTCAGTGTTTGCCCAAATGCATAGAGATGTTTTCCATATTTGCTTTTCTTCTGCGAGCACATTATTTTTATTTGTGAGTTTCTTGGGAGGATTGTATCTGCCAGATGGAAGCAAAATGTTTGAAGGGCCTCAGGAATCCTCATTTCTGCCACTGTAGAAAAACTGGAAATTTCTGGAATGGGGATGGGGGGTGGGGTGGGGTGGTGGTGGATCTCCGTTCCCCGAAGAGGTTGGCCTCAAATTTGAAAGGTGATGTTGGAGGCTGGAGAGTGAAGATGGACTTGAAGACACAGCAGCAACATTCCCTAGACAGGGAGTAGAGGTTCAGTTTAACAGAGAAACAACTAAGTAGAATAATTCCATAACATACGGAATTATCGGGTTTGGGGTTTCAGATGGAAACATCAAACACCATCTTCAGGGCATCCTTCTGAAAGCTGATGGACATTTCTGAAATCGCTCCTTTATTCGACTTGAAATCAAGTCAACATTTCCAAGGAAGAAAAAAAGGGCATCCATAATTTCATATCTTGATTCATATCATTCATTGGGTTTGGGGGTTCAGATGGAAACCCCAAACCCAAGAAACAAATACCCGCAGCCTCTATTATCAGCTGGAAACCTTTCAAAAAACACAAGAAACAACCAATAACCCCCAAGCCCCACCTGCAGCCAAGGTAACTTATCATTCCCAAAGTCCTCACTGGTTAACACGATGGAAATCGACGTCAGAAAAAAGCGATGGCAACATCGACCAGGCAAAACCAGGCAAAACTGCAAGTTTACCGGAGTTTTTGGCTTTGGGCGGACTCTGGAGGGGAGAACCCGGCCCAGCCCCGAACGCTCTTTCGGAGGAAAGGGCGGCCAGCCGGTCACCTGCCCTGGACATCAGCCGCCGGGGGGCACCACCGAGGAGGAGGAGAGCGCATCCCTCGATGATCCCGACTGCGGCCCCCCGAGGCGGCCAAGTCCGCGCGTGGGAAAGTCCGCGGCGCGCGCGGGGCGCGGGTCGGGGCGCGCGCGCGCGCGGGGGCCGGGTGGGCCGCCAGGCGTCGCGCTGGAGCCGCGGTTGCCCGGGAGACCGGCGCGGCCGGGGGGCGGCGCGGAGCCGGCGGCGGCGGCGGCGGCGGCGGCGGCGGCGGGAGCCACTGGGCGCGGGTCGGGGGCGGCTCCCTCCGGGGCGGCGCGCGCGGGCAGCGGCGGGCCGGGGCGACGCGCGGTGGTGGCCGGGCGCTGCGGGCGCGGCGGGGACGCGGCCCGGGATGCCTGCCCGGGGCGCCCCTCTGGCGCCGCTGCTGCTGCTGTCTCTGCACGGTGAGTCGCGCCGCCGCCGCCGCCGCCGGGGGTCCCGCCCGGGGCCCCTGCCCGGGCTCAGGCGCGGCCCGCGCGGAGCCCCCGGCCGTTACCGGGCGGCCCCGGGGGTCCCCAGCGGCTGCGGGCGCGGTCGGGAAACTTGCGGGCCAAGTTGAGGAGTCGCGCCCGCGGCGGCGGGGACGGGCGCTGACAGCTGCATCCCGCGCTGCCCCGGGTTGCGAGTCCGACTTAGGAAAATGCAAAGATTTCCCTCCACCCCTCCTCCTCCTCCTCCCCCAGTTTTATTTTTATTTTTTAATCGACTTGTTAAGATGCACGGAATAGTCTGAGGTTGCAAAGGGAGTAGTCTGAGGTTGCAAAGGGGACAAACGCGCGTTTGATTTTTTGGATTATTAAATTGAGTTTTCTACCCTTTTTTTTTTTAACACTGTTTGCTACCAAGAGCTGTCGTTGGCAAATGCCTCCTTTGCGAGTGTATTGTTAGGTGGAATCTCTCTCTCTTCTTTTTTTCTGGTCTCGTTTAATTGGTTGATAAGATTGACTAAGGTTTATCCTCCAGGATGTCTTTAAAAAAGGTGCCGTGACCGGCGGGGCGGGTTATTGTGGTTGGCCCGGTTTCTTTTTGGAGTTATCCGTATGTTTCCCACAGTTTTCGGGCCTCATTTGAACCGAGTACGTGTCAGGTTTTGGAATGACCGTATTTTAACCGACTTCCATTGCGTAAATGCATTTTTAGTTCAGGGAAGTGAGGGATACAAAACTTTAGTATGAATTTTCCGTAGAAGCTAGTGAGGAGAATCGTCAGAATTACAGTATGTTTTGCAGGAGGGATAAGGTTGTAGGTAATAATTTATATATGTGGTTTAATTCTATTTGTGGTTTACAATGATTTTGTCTGCTTACTTGTTTGGGAGGGCCAACGTTTTTTTTTCCCCCTGTTCTCTTCAAGTGTGACATAAGATCGAATGAATGGATTTTTAAAATTTAATCCCTTAGGCAGAGCTGAAGAGGGTATAAATATTACTAGAAGAGCGGCTGGATTTTTTGATAAATTATGTTAAAATTTATTTTAATCAGTGCCACGGTTTGTAAACATCATTTGTGTGTAGTCTGCCTTTGAATTATTAGACAGTACTTACAAAGAGTTGATGTAATTCACAAGGATCAGTCTTACAAGGTCATCTGATTTTTTTCTTCTTTTTTTCAAATAGAAATATTTCTAAATCGCTAGGGTGTTTTTTAAAAACTTTCAAGGACATTTTAGACTTCTTGATAATCTAATCTGGAGACGCATTTTTCACCCTTCAAAAAATGAGCTGGTTGTTTTCCTTCTTTTTAAAAAATTTTATTTTTTAATGAAGTTGTTTACGATGATTTGTTAAATTTAATATTCCAACACCAATCCCACACCATTGCATCTTCCCAGAGTCGGTTATTTTCAACAAATATTTTTCTGAGTGTGTGTCTGGTAGGCAGGGATGGTGGTGGAAGTCAAAGGTGCCTGAGAGTTTGTCTGTCTTCAGCTCCTCAGGAGTTTGCAATTTTAAGCATTGCAGATTTAAGGCATGCACCTATGATTTATAACACAAGGAATATTTGATAAATGCTACTTTTTAATGGTGTTAGTCATGATGGAAGAATTAAAGGGTGGAAAGTTTATATTTGATCTGAACTTGGAAGGAGTAGGATTAAATCGGCTGAGTGGGAATGGTTCAACTTTCTTTCCTTCTTTCAAATTTTGTTTTTATTTTTATTAAAACTTGAAAAAATTGAGATTCTTTGATATAATTTCTTTGGCCCTATTTCTTTTTTTTTCTTTTTTTCTCTTTTTGGGTCACACCCAGCGATGCACAGGGAGGACTCCTGGCTCTGCACTCAGGAATTACTCCTGGTGCTGCTGGGGGACCATATGGGATGCTGGGAATCGAACCTGGGTCGTCTGCGTGCAAGGCAGATGCCCTGTCCAGCCCTGGCCCTGATTCTTTTTGGAGTTATCAGTGTTAGTAGTGTTTTTTCATGCACGTAATTGCAAGCTCACACTTATCACCAGTGTACTCAATTTTCTTCCTGCCAGGACCCCAGGGCCCCTCCCTTTCGGCCTATCCCCCACCCAACTCGATTGTGTGGATTAGTTCAATTGTGTTGCCTTTGGGCCTTTGTTACTACTTTACTCTGTATCTTTGGGTCTCAAATATGAGAGAGATCATTCTGTATCTGTCCTCCCGTTGTTCATCGATTTGCTCGAGCGGGCCCAGTAATGTCTCCATTGTGAGACTTCTTGTTAACTGTGTTTGGCATATTGAATACTCTCGGTAGCTTGCCAGGTTCTCCGAGAGGGGCAGAGGAATCGAACCCAGCTGGGCTGGGCTGGCTGTGCGCAAGGCAAACGCCCTACCGCTGTGCTATCACTCCATCCTGCATCTGTTCCTTTTATTTGAAATTTAAAAAGGACTTAAAGAGTTTTTTCTTTTTATTAAAGCACCGCAATTTACAATTATTGATAGTTAGGTTCTAGACGTACAGTGTTCCAGCATCTCTTCTGTCCCCAGGTTCCCTCTCCTCCCTCCGCCCGTCCCCCAGCCTGCCATCTTGGCAGGCACCTTTTCAAGTTTGGTCGTTAAGGTTTGGGTCTCCTGATTTCAGTTTTGTTTTCCCTGTGATTTGGATATTCAGCCCAGTGATTCCGTCACCCCATTGATGTCCCCGAATCCCCGCGATCATTGCCCATTGTTGCGTCTCTCTCCCCTACCCCCATTCCATTTCTTTTCTTCTCCCTCTACTCTGGGGCTAAGATTGATCTGAGCACTCTCTGTTTAAGCCATTGCATATCCTCAACCAGTTATTCTAAATACTACGTATAACTGATAATATCCTGTGTTTTCCTTATTCTTCCGGCTTACTTCATTTAGCATGCTCTCTTCCAGTTCTATCCATGTTGCAGGAAATTGCATGACTTCATCATTCCTTGTGGCATCGTAATATTCCATTGTGTATATTTACCACATCTTCATAATCAACTTCTCTGTTGTTGGACATCTAGGTTGATTCCACGTCTTAGTTATTATATTGAATGCTACAGTGAACGGTTGTGATCATTTGTTCTTCTGAGTGAATGTTTTTTTGTCCTGGTGATAAATGACAAAAGTAAAATTGCTGAGTCATATGGCAGCTCAATTTTGAGTTTACTTAAGAAACCTCCATATTGTTTTTCCATAGGCGTTAGGACCAGACAGAATTCCCACCAGCAGTGGATAAGAGTTCTTTTTCATGACATCCCCCAACCCAGATTGTTTCCAGTATTTTTGTGTGTTCTGTTCTCATTGGTATGAGATGATATCTTGTAGACTTAATTTGGATTTCTCTAATAATAAGTGATGATGAGCATATTTTTCATGTGCCTGTTGGCCATCCCTTGATCTTCCTCAGAGAAATTCCTATTTACTTCCATTCCCATCTTAAGAAAAAATTTTATTGATTCACTGTGAGATATAGTTACAAGCTTTCATGTTTGGGTTATAATAACACAATGATCAAACAACCATTCCTCTACCAGTGCACATTCCTCACCACTAATATCCCTGTTATACCCCCCTTTCCCACCCTCCCCCTGCCTCCATGGCAGACATGATTCCCCATAATCTCTCTCTACTTTTAGGCATTATGGTTTGCAATACAGACCCTGAGAGGTTATCATTCATGTTTGGTCCTTTATCTACTTTCTGCACACATCTCCCATCCCGACCGATTCCTCCAGCCATCTTTTTCTTAGTGATCCCTTCTCTATTCCAGCTGCCTTCTCCCCTTTGCTCATGAGGCAGGCTTCCAGCTATGGAGCAATCTACCTGTCCTGTGTATCTACTGTCCTTAAGTGTCAGCCTCATGTTATGTTGTTTTATACTCCACAAATGAGTGGAGTCCTTCTATGTCTGTCCCTCTCTTTCTGACTCATTTCACATAGCATGATACTCTCCATGTCTATCCATTTCTAAGCAAAGTTCATGACTTCATCTCTCCTGACAGCTGCACAGTATTCCATTGTGTAGATGTACCAAAGTTTCTTTAACCAGTCATCTGTTCTAGGACACTTGGGTTGTTTCCAGATTTTGGCAATTGTGAACAGTGCTGCTATGAACATATAGGTACAGATGTCATTTCTACTGTGCTTTTTTGCACCCTCGGGATATAGTCCCAGAAGAGGTATTGTGGGGTCATATGGAAGCTCAATTTCTAGTTTTTGAAGGAATGCCCATATTGTTTTCCAAAAAGGCTGGACTAGTGGGTATTTTTACCAACAGTGAAAGAGTGTCCCTTTTCCCCCACATCCACGCCAGCACTGGTTGCTTTTGTTCTTTTGAATGTGTGCCAGTCTCTGTGGGGTGAGATGATATTTCATTGTTGTTTTGATTTGCATCTCCCTGATGATTAGCAATGTGAAGCATTTTTCATGTGCCTTTTGGTCATTTGTATTTCCTTTTTTGAGGATGCTTCTGTTCATTTCTTCTCCCCATTTTTTGATGGGGTTGGAGGATTTGTTTTTATATAATTCTACTAGTGTCTTGTATATCATAGATATTAATCCATTATCAGATGGGTTGATTTGCAAAATGGATGGACAGATGAAGACCAGAGAATTTTTTGAGCCTTGGGAATATTCTCTCATATGATGAGTGACTGTATCACTGTCCTCCCGTTGTTCATCGATTTGCTCGAGCGGGCCCAGTAATGTCTCCATTGGAGACTTTTGTTGTTACTGTGTTTGGCATATAGAATACAGTCATGGGTAGCTTGCCAGGCTCTCCGAGAGGGGCGGAGGAATCGAACTCAGGTCGGCCATGTTGGCTGCGTGTAAGGCAAATGCCCTACCGCTGTGCTATTGCTCCAGCCCTTCAGATGGGTATTAGGTAAATATTCTTTCCCATTCTGTGGGCTGTTTCTGTATTTTGGTCACTGTTTCTTTTGAGGTAAAAGCTTCTTAGTTTAATGTAGTCCCTTTTGTTTAT